ATATATATATTGAAAAGCAGTGGACCCAGGATTGAACCTTGAGGAACGCCCTTGTTTGGCCTGAAAGAGCTAGAGATAATCTGTCCAATTTTTACAAAGTAAATTCTGTTTGACAAGTATGATTTTAACCAGCTTAGAGGAGTCCCTCTTAGACCAACAGTTTGCAATTTTTGATACAAGAGTTCATGATTTAAGCTATCAAATGCTTTTGAAAGGTCCACAAAAACTGATATTGCTATTTTCGATTTGTCGAGTTGAGACGTTATGGATTGTTTCAAATGCAACAAAGCATCTACCGTCAAAAAACCTCGTTTATAAGCGTATTGGTTTCTGTGAATAACCTGGAATCTGTCTATAAAAGTTGAAAATTTCTTGTAAAAAATCTTCTTGAAAATTTTAGCCAACACTGACACTATTATTATGGGGCGATAATTTTCAATTTCACTTTTTGATCCTTTATTTTTATATAATGGCAAAACTAAGTTTTGATNGAAAATCACTTATGGCTGCTGCTATTTTCGTTGTGAATTTGTCTCTTTAATCCGATTTTCAGTTCGGTAGACTATCATATACAGCATTCAGGTTATGAACTTCCTTTATTGATTTGTCATATGCATTTCGGACTCAATTGTAATTTAAGTCCCTCTTCAGTACAAACTCAGATTCTGGTTTCTAAAAACCTCGGTGTATAGTTGGTAACGTTGTAAAAGAATAAAAATACAGCCATTTAAAAAACACTTCAACTACATATTCACATTAATATGTTGCACACTTTACAAATGTTCATAAAAACCTTTACAATTACAACTTTTTTCAAGAAAAATTCGTATGCACTTTATTGAAATGTTGCAGTAATAATGAACGTTTTTTCTAATGAACGTAAATTACAATTGAGTCCGAAATGCATATGACAAATCAATAAAGGAAGTTCATAACCTGAATGCTGTATATGATAGTCTACCGAACTGAAAATCGGATTAAAGAGACAAATTCACAACTAGTTTTGAATTCTTTTCTTTCGTTATTAATGGATTTAATTCTATAGGCATTCAATAGACATGATTGATTAAAATTATCGTCAACAAACGAAAAAATTTTATATGCTATTTCTGTTAAATTCTCATTCTGAAGTGTCGGCATGCCAACAATCTCCAAACTAGAGTTGTTTAGATCCTGCTCCAACATGCAGAATTTTTCTTTTAAAGAATTTAATTCTGTCTTTGTACTTTTATTCTCTTCCTTTAGTTCTGTCATTGTTTCGATAACAGTTACATAGTTTCTCTCTAAAATATTAATTCTCTCTTCCATTTTGTCAAACTTATTTGCTAAGAATTCTATCGATTTATGGATTTCTTTGTTTGTTTCTCTTATGTTACTCAACTCCAAGTGTATAAGTTTAACTTCTTGTAAAATTACTTCAGAATTTTTGGTAGTTATACTTAAGGGTGACGTTGGAGTGAAAGTTAGATTATCTGGTGTTCTATCCATGTTTTTATTATAATTAGGTGAAGTCATAATAATCTGTTCCACTCACCCAGTTCTCTGTCGTCTTCCAGTTCCTGTGTCCAATTTGCGTTGTTCTTAACGGTTTTCACTAATTTGCAATTCTCACATTTCCAAGTTTTTTTGTAAGACCTACTGAACTTATGAAAGTTCGCTGCCTGGATCCCAAAACAATAGAAGTGAGCAAATTTAGAGCAATTGGGACAAGTTAATAAGTCACTTTCCGAAACTTTGTGCTTGCAAAAAGAACAAGCGCTCAAACGACGATTTGCCATAGCTCCACGCCTCCTCTACTCTCGCACCTAGAATCTGTTTCTTGTAAATATCACTAATCTTGTCAATATTTGTTAAATATCACTAATCTTGTCAATATTATCACTAATCTTGTCAATATATATCTTGTCAACTAATAAAAATATTTATAAATTATTTACAGTTAAAAATAAGAAAGGGAGCAAAAACTATTTTAACATAACGATTAAATATTAATCTAAAATTTGTACGTGAAATTCTTATGTAAAAAAATAAGAATAACTTTTTTAAAATTTTTCCACAGTATGATATATTCGGAAACAGGGTGCTGCACACAATGGCACATCGCAATCTTTGCAAAAATATCGCGTTTCCTTTCTTATTCTTTTGCCTGCACCGTCATGCTTAGTTTTGCATACGGCACAGTGTCTAGTGGGAGCCTTTTTTTTGTCGGTCTCCGGAAGAAGGTCCGGGAAATGTCTTTCCGTAAGTCTAAGTGGACCTGGAATTCTCGGACCTGAAGTTCTCGGCTGACCATGTTTTGTAACCCTCGTTTCGGTGTGATACTTTTGTATAATTGTTTCAATAATGTTAATTCTAAAGTCTAGATGACTTAGTACGCCACCATTTTTTT